AAAAGAAAAGTATCATAAAATATTAAAATTTGAAGAAAAAAAAATTTGTATAAAAATAACCATGTGAGAAAGAAAGCGTGTACAAAAATTATCTCACATTCAAGAATGAAAACTTTATTATATGGGATTGAACTCGTTGATTATGATATTTAGTCAAGTAAAAGATTACTTGTATTTTGATATGCCTAGATTTTTCTTAGTATTTCTCTATTATATTTGTTAAATAGCTTAACACATTAAAAAAAATTCAATTACTCATTTTTAAGGTTGTGTGGAGAATAAAAAAAAAATCTCATTTTCTTTAGCTACGAAGATTGAATATACAAAAATATTATATAAAAAAAAGTTATACAAAATTATTCAACATAGTCCAATCTCATAAAATATTCATTTATCTCAATATATATTATAATTTTTTTAAAAAAAATCTTTCTTCATGTTGAAACTTAAAAACTCTCAACAAATTTTATGACAAAACTTGAAAATTCTTGATACAAATTTAATAAAAAAAATTTGATATACCTTCCTCACAAGTTATTTTATGACAAATGAAACTTGGAAACCTTTGAAACAAATTTTATGATGAAACTTGATAAACCTTTTTCTATATGAATCTTCTCTCATTTAAAAACACTGACCTCCTTTAAAGGTGGATGATTTTTAAGCATGTCAATACACGGACTAAGGGCCCAACTACTAGAGCCATGGCAAGGATGATGCATGAAGAGTGGGCCCAAGCCCAAGGAAAGCCCACTACTTTATTTTGTTAGGCTTTGTTTCAAGCCCATTAGATTAGGGTTAGCATAGGAGTGGGCCTTAGTGCCATGTATTTCTTTTGGGCCTAGTAGTGTAGGAATGTCATTTAGAGGTCATGTGAATTTAGGGTTAATTAGGTTACATGTGAATCTCCATTAGCATGTAATTAGAAGCACATTTGGAGTGCATTTCGGCCATGTGCTACACATGCACAAGGTGTGATCCGAAATGCAACTCAAATAGCTTCCTAATTCGTATGCTTCAACACACAAGACAATTGTATTGAACAACCAAATAATCGTCAAACTTTTCCTGTCACAAATTATAGCTTAACAAATAGATAGGACATAAGCATTAACAGATTACCTGTTCCTTGAGATTCAGTCCCAGATCGTATTTCTTCTATCGTCACAACACCATCTTCCAGTCCATTATCTTTTGCCTAATCAATATTAAAGCAAATTCAATAACAAGGCATTAAATAACCATTGCAGTATCAAACTAGTAATCTAAAATTACAAACTGTATCAAAATGTCAGCCCAATCTTGAATCCGATGCCAGAGAATAAGACACTTCCTATGTCCTTTATCCATCCATGCTGCACGTCCTGCCAAATTAAAATAACACACTTCAGGCATTTTTCTCTTAGCCAAATACAAGAATTATAAATCCATAGACATGAATGAAGCATACCTTCAGAAACTAACGCTGAAAGGAAAGCTGCTCTGGCTTCATGGGTAAGAGACCCTGCAGGATGAAAAATCTAAAACAATCATACAACAAAAAAAAAACAGAAATAAGCAAGACCAAAAACTAAAGAAGCATTTATTCACCAAAAAAAATTGGCGGAGCATTTATTCACCTAAAAACACTAAAGGAGCATTTACGGGACTACTCAACTTCACATAAAATGACACAAAAGCAGGAATTTTGAGCTTACTTTCAATTACATGATTTGTAAATAGAGGAAATTCTTCTTCAAGTCCAATTACAAATATCTTCTGTGTTTTACAATAATCTAAAATAAGCTCTTTCCATAGTTGTATCTGTTTCTCTCTTGTGTCTCTTACTGGCTGCAAACTGAAAGGTAGAAACAAAGGTGAACCACTGGTTAATTACTACCTCACTCTCAATAATCTTATCAGTAACCCTAAGCAACGAACTTTGCAAACAAAAGAGGAAAAACAATTGAATCACACAACAATAATACAATATCACAAGCAACCTGATAAAATATCCAATGAAAGCAATAGGAAGGTCCCAGCAAATTGACAACAAAGCATTTTTGTTATTCACGGAGGAAAATAAACGATCATATTGTTAGTTTGAAATCTAATAAATTACTTAGAAGAAAATTGATAACAAAGCACCATGAATGAAAAAGAAAAAAATTGCAAAGCATAAAAAAGCTAAAGACAAGGATAAAAAGGGAATTTACGTGAAGTAAGGTGGGTAATTGAAGAAATGTGGTAGTTTGAAGTCAACCAATTTCTGCATCTTTCAAGTGCTTCAATGCTATGCACAGAGATTAACGATCTTCTCAGAAGCTTAATAAATTTTCAGCTAATTACTTGCAGGCACGTAACGAAATATCGTAGCGTGTCATGCGATGCTGTTGATTTGGCGGCTAATTGGTGGAGGGATCGAGACGTTGATGTGAGTGAGGGTGAAGAAATGAAGGGAAACTGTAACTCTGCGAACCCTACCACGGTAACGAATAACGATGGAGGAAGAAGACCACCGATGCAGAAGCACAACGTTGCAAAAGAAACGACACCGTTTTGTACCCATGTGCACCTTTACAAGATTAAATAATAATAAGAAGAATAATAAAAGTTAACAAAATTATTATATTGTTAGTTCATTCTAATTAAATGTTATCATACAGTTGCAATACTAATTAAATGTAAAAATTACTTGAAATAACATTATTTTTTTTATCATAATAACATTATTTTTTTATCATATGAAATTGTAATCATGATGCAAGAATTTCATCTTAAAATAGTGTGTATATTATTTTAACTCTTATCATTAAATTGACTACAATAGTCAAAAGAAGATTGGTTAAAATATAGTTTGCAGTCTTTATAATTTTATTGACTTTATTTTTTAGTTTTTATAATTTAAAATATATTTTTAATAATGTATTTTTCTTTTTTAGACCTTTATATTTTATTAATTTTTTTAACATTATTTTCATATGAATCACATAAGTTTATTATATACATGTGATGATGGTGTATTTGATTTTGTAAATGATGATATGTTACTTAATAGTTTAAGAGAGAGAAAAAATGAAAATTTTGTAGACAAACAATATTTATTATAATTAAAAAAATTTGTCAACAAAATAATAGATATTGTATATATGTTAAAAAGCATAAGTAATACTCAAATGTTTTGCAAGAAACATTCCATAACAATCCTATAGCATAGGAAGTATCAATGGTTACAACATATTTAGTAAATACCCCATATAGATATTGAGTAACCACCAAGTCCCACAACTTGTTATATATTAATATCCAGTTACATATATATATTTTTTTATATTATGATTGAATATTATACAGATATGATCAAATTCTTAATAGTTGCATAATAAATCATTAAGTAACATTTAAAAAATCAAATACATCATCATTACGTACGCAAATTTAATAAGATCACTTCACTAACAAGAAAGCAAAGTTATAAAAAAAGTTAACAGTAATAACTAAAAAAATTATAAAATATAAGTATAAAAATAAAAAAAATATCTATTTTATATTATAGAAACTAAAAGATAAAATTACGAAGACTAAAATTATGTTTAAAAAAAGTTTAACATGATATATACAAATTTGTTTAACAAATAATTTGCAAAAAAATTGTTAATGTTGAATGAAAAAAGAAACATTAGTTAATGAAATTAAGAAAAATAATAAATGTCCTTTAAATAAATAAGATAAAGATTACAATTTTATATAAAATGTTTTAAAGATATGTATCATGAAATGTCTTCTCAAAAGAAAAGTATCATAAAATATTAAAATTTGAAGAAAAGAAATTGTATAAAAATAACCATGTGAGAAAGAGAGCGTGTACAAAAATTATCTCACATTCAAGAATGAAAACTTTATTATATGGGATTGAACTCGTTGATTATGATATTTAGTCAAGTAAAAGATTACTTGTATTTTGATATGCCTAGATTTTTCTTAGTATTTCTCTATTATATTTGTTGCTAATTCTCAATTTCTACTTTATTTTTTATCCAGATTCTCTATGCTACCCAAATCTAACTTCTTGTGTAGACTAACAATAGCCAACACTTAAACCCTTGTCAATCCTTTTCTTCCTTCAACTTTCCTCGGAAGTTGGAACAAACCAAAATCTTTAGGTACACTCGCAGCACCAAAAGAACCAGCAATTGACCATTTAAGCAACATGCTAATCCCAGCAAAGCCTTTGATATACTTGTGCTCTCCCTTTGATTCAATATAAAACCCGAATCCTATCCATTAAAATCCATAACTTTCAGCTGTCCCACATCATAACCCATTCAACAAACAAACTTGTTAAACTCCAAGCTATCCAAAATTGAAATTTTCATCTACAAGACCTCTAGAAAATTGAATACTGATTAGTAATTTAGTATTAAAGTCAGTTAGTGTTATGATGAGTTGCAGAACTATTGAACACAACATTTTGGAATAAGAAAATATTAGCAACGAGCAAGGGATGTAAAATCACAAGAACAAACAATATTAAATTATAGAAATCAAAAGGAAAGAATTTAGAGCGAAGGAATGGAAAATATCAAACAAGACCATCCTTATAAATGCCAGAGCAAAATAGAATATGCAATCTTGTTTATGTTTCGTTTTCATTCAGATATCATGGGATCAAACATTGAATCCAATGAAAAAAAAACCCGATTGCAGAAAGTCTGTAAATAAATAAGGTAGCATAATCCTATATCTTTTCCCAGGGTTTTTCTGCCCAGTTTTGAATTCTCTGTGAACTTTGAATGTTGCCGTCTCAACCTCATAAATAAGATGATTAGCAAATGTCTTTCAATCTCCACAAATATTACAAGTTACAAAGTTTTTTTTTCCAAATATACAGGAAAAAAAAAATCAATCCCATAAAGCACCTGTTCTTATTCAAAATTGAGCACAAAGGAAGAGGGGAGATTAAAAGGAAACAACAGAAAATAAATATTTATGAAACCTGCAAGAGCTTCTGAAGAGTGGGTATGAGATAAATGAAGATTTTGTTAGAGACCCTTTGTTATAGATTTCTAACACCTCTCACAATCATAGAAAAACATACTCACAGAGAGTTCTACTTTCTATGCTTCATGCTTTACCTGCAACTGCAAGAGTCAAAAACAAAACAAATATACCTTTAATTTAACCGGAGATGGTGGAGAAGCAACTCTCCGTTCGAATCAAGTGTGGGGCGAGGGCGGGGCAACGGCTGGGCAACGGCGGGGCAAGGGCTCATGCGCGCGCGGGGGAAAGCAAAGGCTTCTCAATATTCACGAGCAAGGGATTCAGGGGCAAGGGCTTCAGGGAAACTCATGCGCTCGGGGTTTAGGTTTAGCAAAGACTTCTCAATATTACATGGGTCACTATGTAAGCCGATGTAGATATCTTTATGTTTATTCACAAAAATGTCACCGTATTTTAATACTATATTGGTTCTTTTGAAACTTGATGTAGAACATTTCATATTTACATCGATCCCACTTAAAATTAACGTAAATATGCTTTATATTTTACACTTAATTACAATAATGCTACCGTATCTTATTTTTACATCGTTTTTTTGTTAACCAGTGTAAAAATGGTGATGTAGATCAGTATTTTTTTAGTAGTGAAGATTGTGTGGATATGATTCTAATTCTTATCATTAAGTTCATTACACTAGTTAAAAGAAGATTTGTTAAAATATAGTTTGTTTGTAGTCCTCATAATTTTATTGACTTTATTTTTTAATTTTTATAATTTAAATATATTTTTAATAATATATTTTCCTTCTTTAAACTTTTATATTCTGTTATTTTTTTAACATTATTTTTCATATAAATGACATGAACTTATTAAATACATGAAGTGATGATGTATTTGATTTTTTAGATAATGATATATCATTTAATGATTTGAAAAGAAAAAATATGAAAATTTTAAATGATTTTATAGATAAACAATATTAATTATAATTAAAAAAATTTAATAAAAAAAATAATAGATATTGTATATATGTTAAAAGGCATAAGTAATACTCAAATGTTTTACAATAATCATTCCATATCCATAGTTTCCTATAGCATAAAAATATCGATAGTTACAACATATTTAGTAAATACCGCATGTAAATATTGAGTAATCACCAAGTTGGCAAGTTCCACCACTTGTTATTTTAATAACCAGTCACACATACACATAACTTTTATATTATGATTGAATGTGATTCAGATAAATAATTAAATTATTAATGATTATATAATAAATTACTAAGTAATATTAAAAAAAACTCTACTATTAATGAAAACTTTATTATATAGGATTGAATTTGTTGATTATGATATTTAGTCAAGTAAAAGATTACATATATTTTGATATGAGTAGATTTTTCTGAGTATTTATTGTATTTCTTGATTATATTTGTTAAATAGCTTAACACATTAAAAAAAAATCAATTACTCATTTTTTTAGGTTGTGTGGAGAATAAAAAAATTCTCTCATTTTCTTTACCTGCAACGATAGAATATATAAAAATATTATAAAAAAAGTTATCCAAAATTTATTAAACGTAGTTCGATCTCATAAAATATTTATTTATCTCAATATATATTATTATTATTATTTTAAAATTCTTTCTTTATGTTAAAACTTGAAAATTCTCTCAATAAATTTTATGACAAAATTTGAAAACTCTTGATACAAATTTAATAAAAAGCTTGGTATACCTTTCTCATAAGTTATTTTATACAGATGAAACTTAAAAACCTTCGATACAATTTTCATGTTGAAACTTGATAAATTTTTTCCTATATGAATCTTCTTTCATTTACGACATTGACCTTCTTTAAAGATAGATTTTTAATAATGTCAATAATTTATATTTATTGACCTAATATTTTAAATTTAAAAGATAAAACAAATTTATAAAATAAATATAATATATTTTTATTATAATCAATATCTTCAAAGAAAAATAATATATTTTAAATCTAAACAATATTTTAGATATTATTTGAAAATTCGAATTCTTTTCCGAATATGTTAAAACATCAAATACTCTCCTTCGTTTCATTCTGTACTATCGTGTTTTATGTGAGGAATTCTTATCAAGTTCACAAAGAAAGATAAACACTTTAGACTTATGCACGAATACAAACTTCTTTTTGAATGTATAAGTATAATAATAATATAAAAGATTAACAAATTCTGAGTATTTGTATCATCCAGAGTCATAAACAAAGTGGTTTCTATTAAATACAACGCGGTATTGTTATTTGAGGGGTGGGAAGCCAAAAATTGAAAACAGTACAATGAGAAATGAGCTTTTCCTTCATTTGCTATGTTTCTGAAAACCAAGAATTTCTGTAACTGTCTTCTATAGCCTAAAGAAAACAAAAGTTACGTCAAATTTATCTACTCGCTGACAACATCTTTGCTTATTCTTATTAGGATGTACCTACAATTTCTATAACAAGTAAATGGAATATGACAAACGATTTAACCAAAACCTTTTTTCTTGAGTTCCTTGTGTGCTATGGGTAACAATATCATTGGTAGAAAAAGAGATGCTCAAGATACCACAATGTCCCAATCATATGTCAATTAGTTATCTATTTACTCCAATAACAAATATGTGTGGGAAATGTCAAGAAGTAAAAATACTATCCCTATAAGAATCCTTTAAGCATAAATGTAATGAAATTCACCAATAATCTTTACATGAGCAAGTTCCATCTTTAAAATGGTGGAAGCGATTACGGTCTCTTACAGTGATTTCCTGCTCATAGATCATGGAAATGAACTTAGTGTACGTATGACAGTCGCTACACATCTTTAGATTTCTTGATATTCTTATGGGAGAACCCTCAGATGTCTGTATAAGTGCAAAAGCAATTGCCAACTTCTGACTATGATATTTCAATCTCTCCCTCTTTTCTTCTTCATTCACATCAAGCAAAACTTGTGACATGTCTGGTCTATAGCCTTCAAATTTCAACTGCCATTCCATTTGGTGAATCATATCATAGATGGTGTCACATTGTGGTTTAGACTTGTCCTGTGAAACAAACTTGTACACCTTCCTATTTGCTTCAACCAAACTAAAACCAAGTGTTTGCAGTTGCACCAAGTGTTTTTCAGCCATTTCTGTTCTGATCCTAGCCACATCATTCCATTTTTTGGCTCTTGCAAACATATTTGCTAGCATCAAATAGTCCCCGGGGTTGTGCTGATTCAACTTGAAAAGATTCTCAGCTGCAATCACCCCTATTTCCAAGTTAAGGTGAACCTTACAAGCACTAAGAAGGCTCCTCCAAACCACGTCATTAGGCTTAATTGGCATTCTCTTTATGAGGTCATAAGCTTCCCTGAGCATCCCTGCTCTCCCCATAAGATCCACCATGCAACCATAGTGTTGAACTGTTGGTTTGATCTTGTGTTCAAATCTCATGCGATTGAAAAATTGTAGACCCTCATTGACAAGACCAGCATGGCTGCAAGCACTCAACACACCCACATAGACAACATCATCTGGTGCCAAACCTTCTTCCATCATGTCAGAGAAAACTCTTAGAGCTTCCCTACCACGCCCATCAATGGCAAGCCCCGCGATCATTACCGTGTAAGAAAACTTGTTCTTCTCAGCCATATTTTGGAACACACTAAGCCCTTTCTCAAGGCAACCACACTTGACATACATGTCAATTAATGAAGTCTTCACAACAACATTGAGTTCACTAATGTTCCTCAACAAGATCCCATGTATGCACCTTCCAAGAATAGGAGACCCCAAATGGGTGCAAGTAGAAAGAGCACTAACTAGAATGCTCTCTTCAGCCTTATGCTGCCCCTCACTACTCATGTCCCCAAGAAGCATCAAGCACTCTTGCCACATCTCCACACTAGCATGAGCACCAATGATGGCACTCCATGAAGCCACACTCCTTTCATCCATTTGCTCAAACACAGCATAAGCATGCTTTATTGCCCCACACTTGCCATACATGCTGATCAAGCTATTTTGCACAAAGGTATCACCATCAAAACCAGCCTTAAAAATATGGCCATGAATTTGCACTCCTTCCTTGAGAGCACCTAATAGAGAACATCCCTTGAATACAAACGGGTAGGTGAACTTTTCAGGTTCAATGCCTCTTTCAAGCATTTCAACATAAAGAAACAATGCTTCTTCTAGATTCATGTTATTGACACTTCCTCTAATCATGGTGTTGTACTCAAAGCTACCCGGTTCCTCAATTTGCCTAAAGATAGAGCAGGCATACCCCATGCTGCCCCATTTTGAAAGAGCACAAGTGGCAACAAGATTGCTACCACAGAAAGAATCCAAGAAAAGGCCCAGTTTTAGAATTTGAGCATGAACTTGCTTAAACTCTTCCATGCACTTGCATCTCTTAAGCAAAGACAACCATCCCTTATCATTGAACTTTGAATTCAATTCAGAGCTTTGAGGTGGATTATTTGGCAGTGACAAAAGATGGGTTTGGCTAAGGACCGATGTCCCACTCATCCTTCCACCAACACCATGCTAAACCAGCATGCTAAGCTAAACATAGAATAATATGCAACCCATTATTCAGTCCAGAATATACAAGTGCTGAAAGTTTGAATACAAGTAAGAATTAAGTCAAAATTTGAATATAGAAACTGAGAAGAGATAGCTATGCACCAGAAAAGGATGAACACTATGGTCCATGATGCAAGGAAATTCGATCAGATGACTGCAGAGTATTTGACAAGTGTGTATGAAGCTGGGGTGTAGTGAACCCAGTTCGTGAAACTGTGAGAAGCATTGGTGTGGTTTTGGGGGTTGACAGCGAAAAAAGAATTTTTTTTTTTCTTTTTTCTTTTTCAGAGGGCTTTTCAGAAAGAAAGTAAAATGGTAATTTTGAGAGGATTTGAATGTGATCCATGAAATTTGAGAGAGCATTTGCGGCCACAAAAAAGCAACGTTACATTATGGAACATGGGATTTCTGGATAGGATAATGTTTTGGGAAAGGGTGGGTCCCACCAGATTCTCCTCGCAAGTTTGAAGACCTCTCATGTCTCGCGACATTGGTCAGCCAATTGATGAATCAAAGCGACTAAAATTGGGTAAATATTCAAGGGTGTTGTCTCGACTGTTAAGTCCTCTAGAAGTCAAGCAAATTATGAAAGCAGAGAAAGAATGTTCTGCTAATCAGCTTCGGCCAGAGCAGCTGATTGTCAATGGTTTGCCCCTGAAGCCTGATGAGATGGCAGAATTACTCGGATGCCCCTTACCTCCACGTAAGCTGAAGCCTGGTAGATATTGCTATGACAAAGAATCTGGTCTCTGGGGAAAGGTGATGGAGTGTTGCAATGAAAAATTTATTTTCAAATTCACAAGGTGGACTTGTCAACATGTATATTTCCATTTTCCTAGCATATTAAAATTTTTATTTCCAAATTGATCAGGTTAACTTATCACAATGCTATATTTTATTCTGTAAACAGATAACAGGATTTAACTTCTGTACTTGTTCATTTTATAGGAAGGGGAAAAACCTGACAGAATCATAAGTTCAAACTTGAATTTCAGTGGGAAACTTAGCCTCGATGCTAGTAATGGAAACACTGAGGTTTACATGAATGGTCGAGAGATCACAAAACTTGAATTGAGGGTACTCAAGGTAGGCTTTTATCTTTGTTTAAATTTTTAACCATTTATATAATACTAAATTTAGCTGCAATTTGTTGGATTATGCTGTCAGAGGTAGGAGTGAAATGGAAAGAGGGGGGTGGGCCACCAGATTGTTCAAAATACGAACAACAGGCTGCTGTTGTTTCCCAAAGATCATAAGATTTTGGAAATGATAAAATATTCTTAAATCATAACTGAAAAGGATAATAACAAAACACCTGTCACCTAATTGATGCTCATACTACTTTGCTAAAAAAAAATTCCAATCTTTAATGACACATTTGGACAATAATCAAACATTTTTAACAAGTCTATAGTTGTGGTCTGATGATCCCTTTTAATCTTTGGAGGATCCTTCATTATCATAACATCATGGTTTTATTAAAATCAATGGAATAACCTTGTTCTTTGAATTTTCAGCTGGCAAATGTGCAGTGCCCCCGTGATACACATTTTTGGGTTTACGATGATGGTCGTTATGAGGAGGAAGGTCAAAATAATATAAGAGGAAACATTTGGGAGAAGGTATTCACCAATATTTTTGGGTGGGAACATCTTACATCATATGAACACATAGAATATCAATGAAAGTGATGCTTACTTTTCCCTTGACAGGCATCAACAAGATTCGTATGTGCCTTATTCTCTCTACCTTTTCCCCATGGTCAGCCTCATGTGCCAAAGGATGAAACTAGTCACTATACCATAGCTCCTAATTATCTGGAACCGAAAAAAATTCAGAAGCTTCTTCTTCTTGGAATTCAAGGATCTGGTACTAGCACTATATTTAAGCAGGTATGGCTTTTATTTTAAATGTTTAGAATTATGTTAATGGTAAATACTTATGAGATAAGAAATTTTATTTCAAAATAAGAGTAGCAAATATGTATGAGAACTTTATTGGTGTTATTTCTTTAGGCTAATGTTCCTTATTTCTCTCTTCCGGCCCCCATTTCTTTGATTCTTTTATTGGGAGATGGAAGGGTGGGAGTTGATATGAAACCAAGTAAAAATATTTGTAGTCTCTTCATTTATGCTAACGGAATTCAAATAACAATATTTTTTTGTCCTGGTGTTTAATACTGATTTTCTTGTAACATGATTCTCCTCTGTTGTACTCTTGCAATTGTTGAGCAGGCCAAATTTTTGTATGGGAACAAATTTTCTGCTGAAGAGCTGCAGGATGTCAAACTGATGACCAGAGCAACATGTATAAATATCTTAGCATTTTACTTGATGGAAGAGAGCGTTTTGAAGAGGAGGCTGTTTCTAGAATGAATGGACAAGGTTCTCCTGGTGAAAATCAAACTACGGAACTAGGTAATTTTTCAGTCCATAGTAATTTTGTTTTCAAGTTTACACTTCATGTGTTTACTGTTTATCTTAGATGACACATTCTATGAATAAATGCCGCAAACTCATTTAATGCCTTATCATTTCAACTACATCTAGTTGAACCTATACACTTCATTTGTTCTTGCATTAGTTATTCTCTTCATTTCTTAGGCTCCCTAACCCTAAGCATGGAATGAAGGAGGAAATTATGTCTATTCTTCGTGGCTTGGCTCATTAGGTTGATAGTATACAGTATTTCTAAATTTTAGTCTTCGGTGTTGAAACCTGGATATTTTTATCATTGATTTTGCTATACTTTCTATAATATGCCTTCTATTGGGAGAATTAATGTATAGCTTGGTAAAATGAGTGAATTTCTTTTTCTTAATTTCATTTTCCAAGTACTCGTTCTTCCTTATCAAGTTTCAATTTCCTAGTACTCTTTCTTCCTTATCAAATTGTGAAGTTCTGTTTCAGTGCCATATCCTATTTATAGTTGGGAGCTTTTTAGTTTTAACAATGAAAAAGAAAATTCAAAACTGATAGAACATCAAATGCTATTCTTTTAAGAACTTATTAAGTGCCACAACATCTCGAGGGGATGAATGGAGTTTACCTTAATACCAAGAAAACTGGTTGCTAAGTGCTAGTGAGAAGACAATAAGTGTATTCTCAGTGGAACAGCCAATTGAATTGGATGTGGAATACCACCCTCTGTGACTAGATTTTTAAATGTACCATAAAGTTAGAAGCTACTTCAGAAAATGTGTTGTGTGATTGCTAATTTTGTGACTTATAATATTTACTTTCCTAAAAAAATGGTTGAGTGTCTCATCTCGTTAAGGCAGACAACACATCTGCGGTGTTCTTTTTATTACTGATTGACCTGGAAACTGGAAAGAGTTAAAAATGTGTAACTTTTCTGGTATTAAATTAAACTAAGTTGAGTTTGTGGCTCCTGGTAGTAGGTAACAAAATGTTTACAATAAATATTGTTCATATATATAAACATGAGTTGATTTCTGATTTATCTAAGCTGCTGCAAATGTGTTGTTTCGGAGTATAGATCTGTGGCAATGTTAATTCATGGCCAACTTTTATGTTAATCCTGTAATGGCATCATATTGCTTCCATTATATAACTTTCTTTTAATATCTATTCAGGCAGCAATGGTGAAATAAGCAATACTAGTGAATGCATCTATTCCCTCAACCCAAGACTAAAACATTTCTCTGACTGGCTCCTTGACATTATAGCCACTGGGGATTTAGATGCATTCTTCCCTGCAGCCACACACGAATATGCACCCTTAGTTGAAGAAGTATGGAAGGATCCAGCAATACAAGAAACCTTCAAAAGAAAAATTGAGCTTCACTTTCTTCCAGATATTGCAGAATACTTCTTAAGCCGGGTAATTGCTCAACTGTCCTTGAAACTGTGTCCTTTTATTCAGTAAAAATTGTCGGGCATCTGATGTTTGCTAAATCTTCCCCTAGCCATCAGTTTTTGTTCTTGCTATTTTTTACTAATTTTATGTTCTGAGAAATTTGTTAATATTCCCAGCATTCTTTATCTGCATAACGAAATAGTCTAGTTGTCCAATTTCTGCTATCAACTTTGTATCTCTGCAATATCCATATTGTCTGCTATTTTTTTTTAGGATTTGTTGGAAATGAAAATAGTAGAACACATGGAGGTTTTAAGCATGAGTACCTGGGTTTGCTTGGTAGGAGCAAAAATGAAAAGGTTGTAATGGAGGGAAAATGAAGAACCAATTCAAGACTTGTTTCCTACTCATACCAAGAAACATGATTTTTCCTTCTTGTCCCCACTTGTCTTGAAATTATGGTCTTTTTATGTGATTTTTTTTGTCATTATTGGTTCTGATTATTAACAATTATAGATGTTACTATAAGATTATGTCTATTGTATATTACAATTGAAAGGGTTATTATTTTGCTAGCTTGGTTTGCCTTTTCAACTTTGATAATTTGATGGTATTGGCATGTATAGCTGGATAACATACTTGTTTCCTTCAGGCCGTTGAGATATCTAGCAATGAATATGAACCTTCGGAAAGGGATATTCTATATGCAGAAGGGGTTACTCAGGGAAATGGTTTGGCTTTCATGGATTTTTCACTTGATGACCGTATCCCAAAGTCTGAAACTTATTCAGATAACCTGGATGCTCAGCTACCACCATTGACCAAGTAAGCTATATTCATTCTGTTTGAATTCTTGTTGAGGGATGTCTAGAATACAATATCAAAAACAAAACCTTAACCCATTAGGTGAGGTAGGCTATATGGATCATATAATGTCATTCAGTTCGATTAAAGACCAAAGTTTTAGTAATATTATTTAGATAAATGATAGTGATGCTCTCTTGCTAATATCCTCTCTTTTATTGGTTGAAAATTACAAATTTTAGTAAATTCTACCACTAAATTAGGAGAGAGGCATATTAAATGAGATGCGGGACATACAAAATTTCACCAAATTTCAACCAATAATAAAGAGTGTTAGAGAGAATGTGTTAACATTCCTTTATTATTTATTATGAGTTTCACGAGGAATATTTAGAATGATCACAAAGAAACAGAAATAAACCTTCTTTGGTGTCTCAGGTATCAACTCATAAGGGTGAAAGGGCCTAAATGAGGGAATATGTCAAACGATTTAACCAAAACCTTTTTTCTTGAGTTGCTTGTGTGCTATGGATAACAATATCATTGGTAGAAAAAAAGATGCTCAAGATACCACAATGTCCCAATCATATGTCAATTAGTTATCTATTTACTCGAATAACAAATATGTGTGGGAAATATCAAGAAGTAAAAATACTATCCCTATAAGAATCCTTTAAGCATAAATGTAATGAAATTCACCAATAATCTTTACATGAGCAAGTTGCATCTTTAAAATGGTGGCAGCGATTATGGTCTCTTAGAGTGATTTCCCGTTCATAGATCATGGAAATGAACTTAGTGTACGTATGACAGTCGCTACACATCTTTAGATTTCTTGATATTCTTATGGGAGAACCCTCAGATGTCTGTATTAGTGCAAAAGCAATTGACAACTTCTGACTATGATATTTGAATCTCTCCCTCTTTTCTTCTTCATTCACATCAAGCAACACTTGTGACATGTCTGGTGTATAGCCTTCAAATTTCAACTTCCATTCCATTTGGTGAATCATATCATAGATGGTGTCACATTATGGTTTAGACTTGTCCTGTGAAACAAACTTGTACACCTTCCTATTTGCTTCAACCAAACTAAAACCAGGTGTTTGCAGTTGCACCAAGTGTTTTTCAGCCATTTTTGTTCTGATCCTAGCCACATCATCCCATTTTTTGGCTCTTGCAAACATATTTGCTAGCATCAAATAGTCCACGGGGTTGTGCTGATTCACCTTGAAAAGATTCTCAGCTGCAATCACCCCTATTTCCAAGTTAAGGTGAACCTTACAAGCACTAAGAAGGCTCCTCCAAACCACGTCATTAGGCTTAATTGGCATTCTCTTTATGAGGTCATAAGCTTCCCTGAGCATCCCTGCTCTCCCCATAAGATCCACCATGCAACCATAGTGTTGAACTGTTGGTTTGATCTTGTGTTCAAATCTCATGCGATTGAAAAATTGTAGACCCTCATTGACAAGACTAGCATGGCTGCAAGCACTCAACACACCCACATAGACAACATCATCTGGTGCCAAACCTTCTTCCATCATGTCAGAGAAAACTCTTAGAGCTTCCCTACCACGCCCATCAATGGCAAGCCCCGCGATCATTACCGTGTAAGAAAACTTGTTCTTCTCAGCCATATTTTGGAACACACTAAGCCCTTTCTCAAGGCAACCACACTTGACATACATGTCAATTAATGAAGTCTTCACAACAACATTGAGTTCACTAATGTTCCTCAACAAGATCCCATGTATGCACCTTCCAAGAATAGGAGACCCCAAATGGGTGCAAGTAGAAAGAGCACTAACTAGAATGCTCTCTTCAGCCTTATGCTGCCCCTCACTACTCATGTCCCCAAGAAGCATCAAGCACTCTTGCCACATCTCCACACTAGCATGAGCACCAATGATGGCACTCCATGAAGCCACACTCCTTTCATCCATTTGCTCAAACACAGCATAAGCATGCTTTATTGCCCCACACTTGCCATACATGCTGATCAAGCTATTTTGCACAAAGGTATCACCAACAACATTGAGTTCACTAATGTTCCTCAACAAGATCCCATGTATGCACCTTCCAAGAATAGGAGACCCCAAATGGGTGCAAGTAGAAAGAGCACTAACTAGAATGCTCTCTTCAGCCTTATGCTGCCCCTCACTACTCATGTCCCCAAGAAGCATCAAGCACTCTTGCCACATCTCCACACTAGCATGAGCACCAATGATGGCACTCCATGAAGCCACACTCCTTTCATCCATTTGCTCAAACACAGCATAAGCATGCTTTATTGCCCCACACTTGCCATACATGCTGATCAAGCTATTTTGCACAAAGGTATCACCATCAAAACCAGCCTTAAAAATATGGCCATGAATTTGCACTCCTTCCTTGAGAGCACCTAATAGAGAACATCCCTTGAATACAAACGGGTAGGTGAACTTTTCAGGTTCAATGCCTCTTTCAAGCATTTCAACATAAAGAAACAATGCTTCTTCTAGATTCATGTTATTGACACTTCCTCTAATCATGGTGTTGTACTCAAAGCTACCCGGTTCCTCAATTTGCCTAAAGATAGAGCAAGCATACTCCATGCTGCCCCATTTTGAAAGAGCACAAGTGGCAACAAGATTGCTACCACAGAAAGAATCCAAGAAAAGGCTTATTTTTGTTTCTAATCTTAGATTTTGTTTTGTAATCCATTCTAGTGCCTTTGATAGGATATCTTTGGTGTGCTAACTTTCTAAATTTGCCTTAATTTTTGCTTGTCATTTTTGTGGGACTCCTTCTAGTTTGTCACATTTTACTCTACCATTTGGTGTAGCCATTCTAAATTGTTCCTTTTCAGTTTTAGCACTAATGTTCCAGTCTTGAAGGTGGTTGAGTGCTTCTTAAAAGGTGTAGGAGGCCAAGTTGTTCTTCTCAGCCATATTTTGGAACACACTAAGCCCTTTCTCAAGGCAACCACACTTGACATACATGTCAATTAATGAAGTCTTCACAACAACATTGAGTTCACTAATGTTCCTCAACAAGATCCCATGTATGCACCTTCCAAGAATAGGAGACCCCAAATGGGTGCAAGTAGAAAGAGCACTAACTAGAATGCTCTCTTCAGCCTTATGCTGCCCCTCACTACTCATGTCCCCAAGAAGCATCAAGCACTCTTGCCACATCTCCACACTAGCATGAGCACCAATGATGGCACTCCATGAAGCCACACTCCTTTCATCCATTTGCTCAAACACAGCATAAGCATGCTTTATTGCCCCACACTTGCCATACATGCTGATCAAGCTATTGGATTTCTGGATAGGATAATGTTTTGGGCAAGGGTGGGTCCCACCAGATTCTCCTTGCAAGTTAGAAGACCTCTCATGTCTCGCCATGTGTATGCTAGGATTTAGGTGCGTATTTACTTTCCAGCCCTAGAAATTAGAAAATTACAAATTTATTTTCATAATTATTTGGAACCTTGTGGTTTACAATAACATGATGTTTTACTAGGGGACTATTTTTCTAGGTCGAATTAGGGCATCTAAGCCTGCATTTTTTTTATATTTTAAAATTAATCAGAGATTAACTTGTGTGTGGAAAACATAAGTTTTATTGAAAAAATATTATTTTAACACTAAAATACTTTATCTAAAAAAATTGTTAAAAACTCATGTTTCTTTATATGTCTATAATTTTGACATATTTGGTTGTGGAAAGATGGGAAAAGGAAAGTATGAAGGGGAGGAGTAAGAGAATAAAAGGATAAATATAAATATTATCTGCTAAAATCAAAGATAGGATTTAATTAGATGTTATGCTGGTAGGATTTAGTCAAAGGATAAAATAAAAAACTTATCGAATATCTGCTAAAAATTATATGAATAAACATTTTAAGAATGTAGTAGAAGCACTAATTAAACGTAATCAGATAGTTATTGGACTTACCATTAAGGCATGAATTAATAAAGTTAGTATAAATAATGATGTATTAAGGAGATGAAGATACTTTTAAATCACATTTATTATTGTATTAATTGGGTTGACTTAACTGAGATAGAAGACTTACTTGAGTAGGATTGAAGACATTTACCCCTTTGAATAACTACAATCAAGGACATTAATAGGAAGGTCAATAGTCAAAGAATTGAAGTACGAAGACTTGGTGACAGAAGATTAGGAATGCATATAAAACAATAAAATTACTCGTGTGCCCCTATTCAGGTACAAATGTAATACTCGTTGAATGAGTTTATTTGAATATCATCCAAGTCAAGAAAGTCCCCCTTATAAAAGTTTTTCATAAGATCAAATTGGAAGTTTTGGGAGACTTTCAAAAAATGCTTAACCTAACGTACAATATGAAAGTCCCTTTGTGTTCTTAATAAATTTTATCTTTAGCCTTAGCCTTGTAAGCTTCATAAGGTGGCAACAACATTATCCTTCTTAATAATTAAAGACTCAAGACGCTTTACAAATTCTTCAGTTAACTTGGCCTTAACATCATTTGACTCCTTGACTTGATCTTTCAAGTTATCAACCAACTTTAGAAGTCTTTGACAATCAACTTCAATCTTTTGATTTTCAGCATGAACCTCTTGGTTGGTAGAGATAGCAAAGGCAAAAGTAGTCTTAGACTCTTTCAACTTTGACCAAAGCTTGTATGTTTCAACTATCGACTCCATAAACAATGTCTAAACGATTTCTAGTGATCAACCTATTAATTCAAACATTGGCTATTTGATCAAAAGATGTTCTTGGGCTAGGAAATCACAACCCTCACCTGAAAGAAGGCTTTGACCAAACATCTCTCGGGTGTTAAGAGTTGAAGAGAGAAAAGTGCTTGTGACTATTGGAGAAGGAATGAAATGGGGACCCACATAAGATGATGGCTTATTTTGTTTTAATCTTCTTTCCTTCTCAACCTCGGTCGCCAAATGTGCGGTGGTTTTTTGTTTGCGACCCTTTTTCTTAGTTGAACCTTTCCCTTAAGGTTTCTTCTCATATTAAGGGGGATAATGTCCATAGAGGGATCTTAGGAGACCCTTGGTTAAGTCGGAGGGTTGTTGGCAACAACAACCTCAGTGCAGGCACATTCTTTGCGAACTTGACAAAAGGAAGCCACTTTAGCACTGGTAGAAGCCATAATACCTAAAAGAAAAAAAGAAGTCAACAATCAAAGCAATATACTAATAGATATTTTTCAAGAACAAAGTTTACCTTCAAAATCCCTTATGGGTTTGAAGGATTTATGCAAATCAATTAAATGGCAATAAGAAAGATTCTGAGGCAAGGTGTTCAAGAAAGAAAAATCTGAGATCTCTTTGGCAATAAGATAATCAACAAGAAGTTCATCATACCAAAGTTGAACACAAGTCCAATATAAAGGAAAAAGTGGTTTGTTTTGGTTATAAAAAAAGTAAAAATGACGTGAAGGATGGATTCCAATTTTGAAAAGGCCTACTTTAAAGTTTTTATAAAAAAAAAGTGTAGGATTTTAAGAGCTTTTGATTTGAGAGCTAAGCTAGGGATATCCACTTGACTTGCATACTAGGATGACAATAATAATG